TAACAAACTTCGTCGATGTTTATTTACATATTGATGGGCGCAAAGAAAAAGTTTTTCTATTTTCAAGTGTTGTCAAAAATATAACTTGAGATTTATTTTTCCAAGAAAATTGTCTGATTGGTGTTAATGAAAAAATTCAAAATAATACTAATTTATTTAATATTGCCCATTTTTGGGTAAAAAATTAAAATGAAATACATTTTTTAAGAATTATAGTATGCTTTGTTTGTAATGCTAAATAAATATATAATAAAAATAAATGAATATATTTTAAAGAATTAATGTCATTATAAGTCCTTTAAAAATATTCTTAAAATTATTTACTTCGTCGCTAGTCCTTTAAATAATATTTAAAAAAATCTCACTTTCATAAATCCTCTTAAAATAGTACTTCTCAAATAACGATACCATTGATAGTCCTCCAAAAATATATTGTTTGAATATTCCCGTTTTTTTTTTTTAGTCCTCAAGAAATATTTTTTTAATATCCCCGCTTTGGTTAACCAGCTAAAAATATGTTTTAAACCAGTAAGGAAAGCAGTAAAGTCAGCCTGGGCCGATTATATGATACCCTTCACCACTTTGGGTACATGTGTATCCGAAAAGACATCGCTTTTTGAAGGAAATTTGACATGAAATCGTCCTCTAATGGAGTAATAGTAATAATATTATGCACATAGTCACCTTTACCTAATTACGTATAACTCCCACATCAGAGTACATACAGCCATATAATGGGTATCAATTTGAAGGTCAACAACTCCTCTTGGATATACGACCATACGACATACGGGTATATGTCCTTCAAAAGCAAGTATATACGCCTCAGAATATTTTTTTTTAATTTTTCACGCAAAAGTCAGGGTCCATTAGACCCGCTAAATATTGATCGATCTATATCAAAACAGGCATGTTTTTTCTTTGGCCCGATCTTCTTCTTCTTCTCCATGTAAAATTTCACGATGTTCGAACCCTAACTGCGGCCTCTGGAGCGACCAAAAAAAAACGACAAAAATTTAGTATTTGGTCCATTTCATTCCCTAAATATTAAGCGATCTTTACAAAAAGTGGGTCTTCATTGGGCCGAACCCATCTTACATGCAGAATTTCGTGAAGATAAATGTCATTGCATACTTTTAGGTTTGCTAAAAAACTATCTCTTTTAAATACCTGAAGTTTTTTTATCATTATTGTATATAAACATTTGATACATTTTATTGCGAATAACCTAACATTATTGATAACACACTGGTGCTGCTTCTAAGTTTCTAAAACTATTGCATACTTTTAGTTGCCAATGTTCAATATATCTCATACCTGGCTATACCTTCCAACATACCTCTCAAATCTGTATATTTATGCTCTAGCAATCAGAACTTGTTTATGTTTATTGAAGTGTTATGGAATGTAGTTTTTTTATTACGAGAATTGAGATTTCTTTGAGTGCCACACATTCAATCGGCTATATATTTCACATTTAAAATTGAATATAATAAATGAAGGAGGAGAAGGGGAAGGGAGGGGATGGGATGGGGGTAAAGGATTATGGATTTATTCTTTAATTTGCAGTAAACATTTATGGACATAAAGACAAAAAGATTCTTATTTAAATCTATCAGTAATAGGTTTGTTAAATAAAATGTAGTGCATACTTTTAGGGCTGCACAAATTTTCAATTATAATAAATAAAGTATTTATGAAAAAAAAAATAAAAAAATAATTTGAATATATAAACTAGATATTATTATGTATTATTTTCATAAAAAAGTTGTAGTAGGATGATTTTTCGGAATCGAAATTTGAATTACTTCGAATGTTAAAATACGCAAAGTACCTTTTATTATGTTTTATAAAAATAGGAGAGGGCCATAAAATATGAATGTTTTTTTTAATTTGCAGTTAATATTACTTACAGAAAGAAACATTCCTATATTAACACGTGTTAAATAAAATGAAGTGCATACTTTTAGGGTAAAAAAATATAGGGTTATCTCTTTCGTGATTTCAAAAGTAAACTTAAAAAAACTCGTATAATATTTTTTCATGACCTATTTTTATACCCTTCACCACACTGTGTTGCAGGGTATAATGTCTTTGTGCATATATTTGTAACAGGCAAACAGGGAAACGAGATGGACACATGGTTCCTTTTGTGAATATGCATAGAATTCCTTTCTGAGTCGATTTATGCACGTCCGTCAATCCCTCCGTCAGTAGATGTTAAATTGTAAACAAAGTACAGGTCGCATTTATGATACGATTGGGATGAAATATGGCACAAATCACTTATTTGGCCTAGTTACGAACGCTATTGATATTGAAATCGGATCAGATATATATATATATATATTAGATATAACTCCCACATATATTTTCGTCCGATTTTATGTAAATGATGCGCCAAATGAATATCATTCGATTTGTACAAAATTTAACATATCGTACTGAATTAAGTCTAGAATGATGTGAGTTCAGTTTCTTGAAAATTGGTTCAGATTTTGATATAGCTCCCATATATATTTTCGTCCGATTTTATGTAAATGGTGCACCAAAGTCCCCATATATATTTCGATATGTACGAAAATTGACATAGTGTACTGAATTGAGTTTAGAAAAATAAGTGGTAAGTTTCCTGAAAATCGGTTCAGATTTCGATATAGCTCCCACAAATATTTTCGTCCGATTTAATGTAAATGGTGTACCACAGATATATATCTTTCGATTTGCACGAAACTTTGCGCAGCGTACTGAAATAAGCCTAAAATGATGTGTGCTAAGTTTCCTGATAATTGGTTCAGATTTTGATATAGCTCCTATATATCGTTTCGTCTGATTTTATGTAAATGGTGTACCAAAGTCCCTTTATATCTTTCGATATGCACGAAATTTGGCATAGCGCACTGATTTATGTTTAGAATGATGTGTGTCAAGTTTCGCGAAAATCGGTTCAGATTTATATATAGCTCCCATATATAGTTTCGCCCGATTTGAGATAAATGTTGCACCAAAGTGCTTATATATCCTTAGATTTGCAATAAATTTGACATAGCGTACTGAACTAAGTTTAGAATGATGTGTGTTAAGTTTCCTGAAAATTCGATATTGCTCCCATATATATTTTTGTTCGATTTTATAAAAATTTTACACCAAAGTCCCTATATATCTTTCGATTTGCTCGAGATTGTGCATAGTGTTCTGAATTGAGTCTAGAAAGTACCTGAAAATCATTCGATTTGCACGAAATTTTGTGTAGTGTACTAAATTGAGTCTAGAATGACGTGTGTTAAGTTTCGTGAAAATCGGTTCAGATTTCAGATATAGCTCCCATATATTTTCGTCCGATTTTATGTAAATGGCGCAAAGTCCCTATATACTGAATTGAGTCTAGAATGATGTGTGTTAAGTTTCCCAAAAATCGGTTCAAATTTCGATATAGCTCCCACATATACATATATATTCATCCGATTTTCAATAAGTGGTGCACCAAACTCTTAATTTTTGTTCGATTACCACGAAATTTTGTCCAAAGTATCAAATTGAGACTTGAATAACGTTATTGCGTTTTGGTGAAATTGGTGCAGATGCAGTCATAGCCTCCATATGTATTTCGAACGGGTGTCTGATTGAGATAAATTTTTTAACAGTGCGACGTACCGAATACCCTTTATCAATTTTGCTATAAATCGTTTTCAATAAAACTGTGCCATGGTACGCAGAAGACTCCAAATCGGCCCGAATGAAATTAAATTTAACATAGGTTGCAGAAAGATACATATATATGTACAATATACCCATAGTGGTGAAGGGTATCATACAGTCGGCCCAGTCCGACTTTACTACTTTCTTTCTGGTTTTATTATAAAGTTTCTACCTTGACATTATGTGTGAAACACTACATTATTAAAATGACCTCCACTCGAACTGTTAGTACAAAAATCCACGCCTTATGTAGGAATTGAAAAAATATGTTTTAAAAAATCCAAGCCTTATGTAGGGCTTGAAAAAATATTAAAAAAATCCGAGCCTAATATAGGCCTTGAAAAAATGTTTTAAAAATATTCGCACCTTATGGAGGCCTTAAAACTGATACATTTATGTGCGTAAAATTGTTTCACATTTGCTGACTCATTTAAAAATACATAAATAAAATAATGCATACTTTTAGGACAATTTTGTTTTTTTAATATATTATTTATAATCTATACAAACACATTGTTCCGGCATACATACCTACCTATTGATTTTTAATTTTAAAATAAAATATTTGCATACTTTTAGGATTTTAAACAAAATGGTAAATATGTGTATACTTTTAGGCGTATATTGTAATAACTTTAATTTGATTGAAACAAAATAGTATATATATTAAAATTATTATTACAAATTATATACTTACTGCGTTGTAATTTATTATGAAATATATTTTTAGCTGTAATAGAGGAAAAAAATAAAAATGAAATTTAATTTAAGCTCACGTAATGAAAATATATTCTCATATCATTTAAAAATAACAAGTAACATGCATGATTTCTTTTTTTTAATATTTTGATAAACAAAAACATCTAATTTATATTATTTTTTTATAATTTTCCCTACTCCCATCTTTGGGAGATAATAAAGCGCAAGTAGTTTTCACATAAATAGTTTTTTTTTCGTTTTTTTGTGTAGCTCTTAAATAACTTGCATTTCGTGTAAACTGATTATAGTTTACAGAACTGAAAACGCAAAAAAAAACAACTAAAAATTTACATAATCATATTAATTTGTGTACTTTTCTCTTCTCTCTCCCTGTCTCTCCATTTTGTTATCTATCTTCTTCACAAAACCACTCATGTTCCTGTTTCATTACACACAAACACACTATCTTGTGTACGTGTTTGTTTGGGGTCTTCTGTGTAAATTATTATTATAATATACCAAAAAAAAAAAAAAAAAAAAAAAAACCAACAACAACGTTCCTGTGCTCCTCTATGTGTGTCCTGCTTCGTTCCCTGCCACAGTTCTGGTTCTGGTCTTTGTGGTGTATAATCGTCGACGTGAGGCACATATCAAATATCCTGGTCCAGATGATGATGTACGCGAAAATATCATTAACTATGATGATGAGGGTGGCGGTGAAGATGATATGACGGCATTCGATATTACACCATTGCAAATACCCATCGGTGGACCAATGCCGCCAGAATTGGCCACCATGAAAATGCCAATTATGTGTAAGTACAATATATGCACATATATACATATTTGTGTTGGCGTGTGTGAGAGTATGTGTGGGGTTTTGTAATTGTAACATGCAAATGCTAGAGGTTTTATCGATGCATAAACCATATGGCAAAAGGTAATATGGTAACATGGGACAAGAACACGTAAAAATCAGGTCAATGTGCATATTTTAAAATTTATAATCCAATATGCAGAGCATAGAATGAGAGGCAAATAAATAAGCTATAAAATTCATTTTAACGAAGTTGGTTGTGATTTCTAGGCTTTGAAAAAATATTCTTTAAGAACTACACCCCTTTTCTAGACTTTGAAAAAATATTCTTTAAGAAATCCATGCCTTTTCTAGGCTTTGAAAAAATATTCTTTAAGAACTACACGCCTTTTCTAGACTTTGAAAAAATATTCTTTAAGAAATCGATGCCTTTTCTAGGCTTTTCTAGGCTTTGAAAAAATATTCTTTAAGAAATCCACGCCTTTTCTAGGATTTGAAAAAATATTCTTTAAGAAATCCACGCCTTTTCTAGGCTTTGAAAAAATATTCTTTAACAAATCCACGCCTTTTCTAGGCTTTGAAATAAATATTCTTCATAAAATCCACGCCTTTTTTAGGCTTTGAACAAATATTCTTTAAGAAATCCACGCCTTTGTTAGGCTTTGAAAAAATATTCTTTAAGAAATCCACGCCTTTTCTAGGCTTTGAAAAAATATTCTTTAAGAAATCCATGCCTTTTCTAGGCTTTGAAAAAATATTCTTTAAGAAATCCACGCTTTTTCTAGGCTTTGAAAAAATATTCTTTAAGAAATCCACGCCTTTTCTAGGCTTTGAAAAAATATTCTTTAAGAAATCCACGCCTTCGAAAGGCCTTTGCAAAAACACTTTTTTCAAAGTTCTGTCCTCCCGTGGTCCTTGAAAAATATTTCAAAAATTTACAACTACTTTTAAACCCCACCTCGTTCGATGTGTGTGAGTGTCACAACCCGTGTGTGTTTGTTACAACATATGATTACACGATGTTCCATTAATTATTTAAAACAAATTTTTAGTTTCAATAAACTTTTTTAATTGATTTTTGTAACCAAAAATTTTTTTGTTTGCTTTTCTCTTTCCTCCACCTTCAAACACAGATCCTGTTATGACATTAATGCCCGGCCAGGAGCCAAATGTTGGCATGTTCATCGAAGAACATAAAAAGCGTGCCGATGGTGATCCAAATGCACCGCCCTTCGACGATTTGCGTAACTATGCATATGAGGGTGGCGGCAGTACAGCCGGTTCGTTGAGTTCTTTGGCATCAGGTAAGTTCGAAAACAGAAAATTCTATTTTTCTTTTGCCAACAAAAAAAAAAATCAATTTAGAATTAGCACAATAATGCTTCCAATAAAAATTGAAAAAACAAATAATGAAAATAAATTAAATTCGAAATAAAATAGTTGCACTCAATATTCGTAATAATTAGTTGCAGTTGTAGTTTTTTGAAAGCTTTTCCCTTAAACTTTGAAAAAATAAGAGTAATTAGTAACAATATTTGCTAGAAATGTACAATATTAAAAAAATTATATTTAGAAATCAGTTGGGAAGTAACAGAAGTCAAACGGGGTCGAAGCTATGAAATCCCTCACCACTTTGGATATATGCAAGAAATGCTCTTTAATTACCTTTCCATAGAGGGGAATTACCATTAAATCGAACGAAATTAAATACAATGCATACATAGACATTCTACATCTACGACCAGGGTCTTAGGGTTTTTGATGTTCCGTTTTGTATGAAATCGAACATATTTATAAAATTTTAAATATAAATTGAAAAAAAAAAATAAAATTAATTTAAACACGCCATTGCTCAAAATCTGACACTCTTTGGCTATTTGGTGCACCTTATCTAAATATATCCAAATCGAATCCGATTTCAGCAAACCACTATGCAATCTTTGCATGTAATTCAAACAAACGAAGCGTCTAAGGATGCCGATTGAACTGGTCGAGTAACCCCGTAGTCGAGTCCTGCTGGTAAAAAAAAAAAAATACAAGAACATCTGGTATAGTTTGTGCCCTCATAAAATATAATATATATAATATAATATCCCCAATCCGATTCGGAAAATCAACCCACAGCAAAATCTTCCTTTAGAAATCCAATGAGACAAATAGAAATCTCTTATAAATAATAGTTAAAGTAGTCAAAAATTTTTTAGTATTTAAAACTTACATATGTGTTTATTCATTTCTGTGTGTTTTGTTAATATTCCAGGCCTACGCCTAAAACTACATACTAATACAGCCGAATATTGGGTGTAAACATAATTAAGAGGAGCCTAGTAAATCATAATGCATTCTTTAAAAAAACAAAAACTAAGAAAAAATCAAAATATATAAAACGAAAAAATGTAATATTAATAAAAAAATAATTGTAAATACAGTGGAACATGGATATGAAGCAATAAAAAAATAATAAATAAATATTGGACTAAGAAGCCGAAATTTGAATACAGCTCAAATGTTAAAGTATATTTCCGAAACATGAATTTTTGAAACGTTTTATGATTAGGTTGCGATGTTAAACCGAAAACGATGCTGAAACGCTTAAAAATCTACGTCTTTGTGAAGGGTTTAATTTTATATGAGGACCATATCATGGCAAATTACTGTCACTGACTCTCAGTTAGGATCATTGGGCTAGGACCTTGGGCTTATGGACTTAAGCTTGTATGGATGTTATGTGAAGTAGTTGTTTAACCTCCAAGGTCCCGGAATGCCAAATTGCATCCCAGTTCGAAATGTTAATATATAGTCCTTGGGTCGGAAAATGTATAAAATATATAAGGGGACATACCGAATAATCGACCAATAGTTACAAGTATACCCTATACAAATATTCTATGGCTTATGTATTTACCCCAGAAGGAGATAGATCGGGGATCGGGGGTAGTATATCCATGAGAAGGAGAGGAGTTTACCTTTAATTTGATACCAATTATGTACTCATACTCGGATTCGAGAGTTGTATTCAAAACATAACATGGGTTTTAGTATTCAGATTTTTTTTAATTACCATTAACCCTCTAGAGAACAAAAATATCGTGTTAATCACAGTGAAAATTTCCATGAAGTTTCAGTTACGCTCAGGAATGACTGGACAAAAACCCTTTTTTCTCAGTTTTTTTCTAGTCCCTCTAGTGGCCTACTTAATACTATAAATTTTAATAGGGGAAAAGGCATGACTGTTTTGATGAAGATCGATCAATATCTCCGGACTTTTGTGTGGAAAATAGCAAAATTTGCATTCTATGGCGTATGTATTTATGCCTGAAGGACATATACCCGAGAAGATGATAGTCTATACAAGAGTGTATGTACTCGTATGTAGTAATATTACTATTACCCCACTAGAGGGCGGAAATGTCACGCTGACCGCTTTGAAATGTTTCATGAAGTTTCGGTCATTATCAATGACGAAGCCTACAATTTTCGGCGATGTTGAGATGATATTTAGGGAGTGTAATGTTCGGAAAACTTTATTTTTTCAGGTTTTCTTATCTCTCTAGAGGTCATTATTATATGCAGATAATTTTTATTTTATGACGTAAATTTTCACCTCGGGAAAATCGAATTTTGAAAATATGCCAGGGTTAGAATGTGGAGTTGTTGAGTTATGATCGTTCAAGAGTGTGTAAATATCGCAAAAAAAAAAAATTGCCTAGACTCAGAATATAAAACCGCAGAATGTTAGATTTTCGGGGTTGTTGTGTAGAGTACCATATAATCGGCCCCTCCGACTATATTGCTCCGCTTATTGGGTTTTAGTATTACCACGATCACACTAGAGTTTGCAAATATCGAAAAATATTGCCCAGCCTCGGAATATATATCCGTATAAAAAGATAACATTTAGAGGTAGTTGTGTTGGATATCATATGGTCTGCCCCGTCCGGCTATACTGCTTCGCTTTTGGTATAAATTTGAGAAAATTAGGGGTACCGTTATATGGGGAGTATACTTGATTATGTACCGATATCGATTATTTTTCGAATAATGAGGAGTACAGTTGTATGGGGCCTAACCAGAAACTGAATCCACAATTTAAAATTACTCTCAATACCGATTCGGCTGAAAATGAGTCCAGTCTTTAAAATATCGAATAATGATATATATAAACCCGAACCAGGAGGTGATATTGGGACTTTTTGGTAGGGAGATTTGGTGCTTAATAGGAATCTAATATATCAAATTAAAAAATAGTTTGGTTGAAAAAAGATCGAAAAATCACCAATAATACCGAGTTTTGGGAGGTGCCGTAATAGGGGGGCTATCATTGAAAGAGGACCAATTGTGTTAATTTTTGGTCCTATGATTTTTCACCAAATGAGAACTCCAAATACTAAATTACTATATGGGGACTATACCAAAACGATAAAAAAATCTAAACTTTATTGTGACATATGATTTTATTTTGATCAAGAGTTGCGTGCCCAGTTAATACTTATTCGAGGTGTTACAAACAGAATGGCAAACCTTATGGATGTGGGTATAAAAATCAACTCTAAAATGTGGCCCTTATATATTATGTTTAAACATATTTTCGAAATTTTTAGAACCCATCTGTCTCATAACCATGTTCCACTATTCAATTTTCATTAGTCAAAATATTTTCAGTATTTTTTCTACAAAAAATTAAAAACAAATATTAATAATGCAATTTTTCTGTATCTCTTAATTTCCAGGAACCGATGATGAATGCCAGGAATATGATTACCTGGGTGCATGGGGTCCACGTTTTGATAAATTGGCCAATATGTATGGACCCGAGGCCAACAATCACACCGATTTAGAATTGTAAGTGACAAAACATAGAAATGTATAATCACAGCAACAACAAAACGAAAACCTAGTCCGAAGAAACCACAAACAAAAAACAACAAAACAACCATTTATACAAAAAAGAAAACAACAAAATATATATCACAAAAATCCTCCATGAAGAAATGACTACACTCTCCACATATATGACAAAATGCAGAAGAAGACAAAGAAACTATTAACAAAAAATCTCCCCCGAAAAAAAAACTGAAAACAAAAGAAACGCGAAAAAAGGCAATTATAAAATTTTTTGATTTGAAACAAAATTGAAAAAATTCAATGAAAACCAAAAATGAAAAAAAAAAAAAATAAATCCTGAATATGAAGACATTCACTCAGTGATGATGATGGTGGTGGTGATATGAAAACAATTGGAAGATTGCTAAGCAAACTGTAAAAGACCACACACTCACACAGACATCTATATATCAAGAACAAGAAGAAATGCAAACGAAATGAATATCCATTCCACGGGATATTCTGGACAAGAGCATGGCAACTAGAAAAGATAAACTAAAAAAAACGAAAAATTGTTTCGAAAAAAAAATAAATAAGAAGAAAAACTACCAAAGATATAAAGGTCTGGCCAAAGACCAAAAACAGAAAAAAAAAACGCGAAAACAAACGGAACGAAAAAAATTCCTCTTCAAAATAACAAAAACAAAAAAAAACTACATTTCAAAAAAACAAGTAACAAAACCTAAAAATATAAAATACGAACAGCATTTAAGAGAAAAACAAATAAGGCATCATAACAAAAAATATATATGGATAAGAAATCTCCTCCCATAAAAAAGAAGACAAAGAAGAAGATATACCATTTGTAAAATACTATTTCATTTACACATAAAAAACACCCACACACACATACATATATGCATAGGCAACAATACATTTTAGGACATAATACATACATACATACTCACATATACAAAGAAAGCAAGCATTCATTATTATTATTAAAATTAAAAATAATTATAATTTAATATTTTAGTTTGAAAACTGAAAGTAAAAAAAACAAATCCAAATAATTTTTAGTAAAAAAAAAACAAATAAAAATTAAATTATTAATTAGAAGAAAAAAACAAAAATTGCATAGTTTTAAAAAATAAATTCATAAATACACCCAACCCATACAGACACTCTCACACAAGTGTAAAACCAAAGTATCTACTTTATAAGTAATAAAATAAAAAAATAAAAAATTAATTAATTAAATAAATAAAATAGAATAAAAAATATATAAAATAAAAAATTAAATAAAATTAAGTTTACAATTCTCTTTTTTGTATATTTCTTTATTTTGTAACAATGCTAAGTATTATTTTTTATATATACATATATTATATGGAAATAAGTTATTTATAAATTAAGTTTTTTTATATGTTTAATATATAAGAGAAAAAATGATTTTTTATTTTTTTTTTTTTTGATTTTTTCTTTTTATTTTTAACACATACACAGTGTTACAAAAAATTAAAAAAATAAATAAAATTCTCATTCTGGTTTAAAATAGTGGACTCTAATGGAATCCTAATAGAAAAAAATGTGTAATAAACAAAAACAAAAAGTGAGGTTATAATGAAATAAATAAATTTAAAAAAATTGAGAAATAATAAAAAAGAATATTTTCTTTTAATATTTAGCTAAAAATTTAGGAAATTTTATCTTTTTTTATTTATCCATAATGTATTTAATTTATAACATAACCTCACTTTTTCTATTAGTTTATAACACATTTCTTTATAACATCGATTTCATTATGTTTGTGTACCATTGAAAACTCCTTCACTTTAGGAGTATTTCTCTGTTTAATTTTTTGTAACATTGAGTGTGTGTTATTTTCCCCTCTTATAATTTTAAATTATTTTTTAAGTTCATTATAAAAATGTTTAAGTATTTACATGTATAGTCTATAACATGTGTTCCTTCCCAGTCTTAATTTGTATGAAAAAAAAAATGAAACAACAAGAACAACAAAAATAAAAATAATAAAAAAAAACAATAAACACAACGATTTTAAAATTCGATTTTTTTTTTATTTTCTTCATTTTTGATCCCATTCGATACCTATATTGATAATTGATAAAATGATAAAATGTTTAGAGAAGGGTCATTTTCATGGTGTTCAACAATGGGGTGCAGAAAAGAGCCAGTGAGGGCAAAAACGTTTTCCGGGAATTTCCAAAAAAAACTATTACGACATTGCTTTCATTTTGGTTGGTGCAGACCAGAAATTGGAGGAATATGTCCGTATAACTCCGAACTCATACCTTGGAATAGGCTGCATATAATGGCAATGGTACCGTCCCTCTTCTTTAGACTTTTTAGACGCCTTTAACTGTAATTTCGGGTTCTCAGCAATACTAAAAATATTTGAGACTCTTTTTACAAAAATCTTAACAATCGTTTTGCGAAATGAACAAAAAAAAAAAAAAAACAAATTTGTAATACCCTTCACCATGGGATGTGAATTTGAAATTTCTTAAATAGTTTGGAATTTTAATATGAAGATTATGTCATTGCAAATTGTCTGCTTGTAGATTTTATATTTGAGAAACTGAAATGAAATTCAATGTAGAGAAAATTAAGCAGCGATACTTTACTTACTTAGGTGGCTCTAGACCGAACATTTGCTCTGTAAGCCGAGCTTAAAACAGATTTTCATACTCGTCGGTCTTGTGCGCAGATTTTCCAATTTGAAAGATTAAGTTTCGATATGTTGTTTTTCACTTGATATTTCCATCGAATTCGTGGTTTTCCCCTTCTACGTCCTCATTTGAACTGGGGCATCCTAATCCATTCTCACAACATGACATGATACGTCTGACTATTTCGATACCCGAATAGATGGTACAACTCATGGTTCATTCGACGACGACATTCACCGTTGACGCAAATCTGCCTCATCTGCTTGCGCGAGTACCCATGCTTCAGATCCATACAACAGCACGGGTAGTATAAACGTCTTATAGAGTGTGTGTTTGGTCTGGCTCGCTTTAATATGACTTTTGATCCATTCCATCTCACAACATGACCTAGCCACCGTAGTCGCTACAGCTCGATATGTTTGACTATGTCGATGTTTGAGAATAGATGGTACAACTCATGGTTAATTCGATGCTGATATTCATCGTTGACGCAGATCGACCAATAGATCTTCCTGAGAATTTTTCTCTCAAACACTCCATGAGCTGCCAAATCAGCTTGCCCAAGTACCCATGCTTCAGATCTATATAACAGCGTCTTGTAGAGTGTGACTTTTGTCTGGCGAGAAGTTGCCTTGATTCTGAATTGCTTACTTAGACCATAGTAGCATCTATTGGCCAACACTATCCTACTCCGAATCTCAAAACTCATGTAATTTGTTTTGTTTATGGAGGTACCGAAGTGGATTCGATCTTTGACTACCTCAAAGCTGTAGTTTTCAAGTTCCACAATTGGTCCGAGTCTACTGGACGTCATGCGCGTTGATACCATCAGTTTGGTCTTTTCTCCATTTACTTCCAGTCTCACATTGGTAGACTCCATCTCAATTCGTCGAAAGGTGACTGTTACCGACTGCAATGACTGCAATATTCGAGGCGAGTAATATGTGTTGTTTGGTCATTTGGCCATTTCTGTTCACCTTTGCCTCTCGTATAACCTTTCCCAGCAGAATGTTAAAAAGGTCACACTACAAACTGTAAACCTATCTGAATCCTCGATCGGTATTAAAGGGCACGGATAGGTCCTTTCCGATTTTAACTGCTGACCTTGTGCCAGTTAAAGTTATCCTGCATACCCGTATTCATTTTGCAAGAATGCCGAACGCTGCCATGGCTTTAAACACCTCTGAGTGGATTGGGTTGTCGAATGCGGTTTTGTAGTCGACGAAGGGGTGGTGGAGGTGGAGGTCTATGGTGGATTGGTCAGGTCTGAAGCCGCATTGTTATGGCGCAATTATGTAATTGACTATTGACTTCACGCTAGATTACACTTCATATGCGATGGGAAGAATACCAATTCCTCTATAGTTGGCACATATCGTCTTGTCACATTTTTTGTGCACGACACACAGGATGCTGAGGATGCAATCATTGGGCATGCATTCCTCTGACCAAATTGGACTAATCACTTGATGCCTGCTGCTGATCAGTATCTGACTACCGGTCTTGAATAGTTCGCCTGGTAATCCGTAGGCACCTGCTGATTTATTATTCTTCTGTCGATTCATAGCTATTCTGACCTCATCTTGGCTAGGTGGTATACACACTATACCGTCATCTCGTATTGGTTCTGGGGTATCTTCTTCACCACTACTATTTGATACCAGGAATTTTGCAAAATGCTGTGTGTTACTACTGTTTGCAGGGTTGCCACCTCAGTGGGATTACGACCCTCCTGATCGTACCATGGGTTTATTGATGGTGGTCATTGGTACCAAAATGCTGTTTTTGCTGCAGATTGTAGGGAGTGGGCAATTCTTTGCCCATGTGTTTCTATTTTATTATCGGGACAAGGAGTGCTTTCGTCAAGCAGGTGGGTATGTTGAGCGGAGTAGGCTTCTGCTACCTGTTGTGTTTGAAGCTTTTCGACGTCGAGTTTTCGTTATGTATTAGCTCGCACCTTTGCTGCTAAAGTAAGACGAGTGGCCGAATCAATATTCGCTCTGATTCGCCTTGCGTAAATGAAGATGCAGACCTTAATATCAGAATATGTAGATTCCGTTACTATAATTGGTGTACATTTTTCAATATATTGCCAACTTATGCGGATTAAGTCTTTTCGGAGAACGCCAATTTTGTAATTTTTTCACACAAAAGTCGTGGCGCCTTTTTAACCGCTTTTTAACACATACCTAGAAGGATTTACATAGTTGAGATACGACAATCGGCATACCAAAACGTGAACATATTACCAACACTTTGTACCGGGTTTGTCAACAAATATATACCCTCATTCTATGGCTATGTAGATTAAAAATGTTTCAAATT